ATAGAATAGAATAGAATAGAATAGAATAGAATAGAATAGAATAGAATTTTGGTGCATATGCTCTCGGTGTACATAAAAGAAAATATACATTCGTCAAGAGTCAAGAATCATCAGGTACAACATTTAATGATAGTCATAGGGTACAATAAGCAATCAAATCATACTAGGAAACAGTCAATATAAATCATAATGATACAAGGGAGAAAGTTATGGTCATACAGTCACAAATGGGAAGGGAGGGGTGATAAGAAGTGATGAGAAGATTAACAGTAATAGTAGTGCAGAATTTGTAAACAGTTGAACAGTGTTGAGGGAATTATTTGTTCAGCAGAGTGATGGCTTTCGGGGGAAAACTGTTCTTGTGTCTAGTTCTGGTGTGCAGTGTTCTATAGTGTCATTATGAGGGAAGGAGTTGAAATAATTTATGTCCGGGATGTGAGGGGTCTGTAAATATTTTCACAGCCCTCTTTTTGACTTGTGCAGTATACAGGTCCTCGATTGAAGGCAGGTTGGTAGTAATTGTTTTGTCTGCAGTCCTAATTACTCTCTGATGTCTATGTCTATCCTGTTGGGTTGCAGAACCAAACCAGTTAGTTATAGAGGTGCAGATGACAGACTCAATCATTCCTCTGTAGAACTGGATCAGCAGCTCCTTGGACAGTTTGAGCAATTTGAGTTGGCGCAGGAAGGACATTCTTTGTTATGCTTTTTTGATGACTTTTTGATGTTAGGTGTCCATTTTAGGTCATGTGATATAGTAGAACCTAGAAATTTGAAGGTCTCTACTGTTGATACGGTGTTGTCTAGTATTGTAAGAGGTGGTAGTATGGGAAGGTTTCTTCTAAAGTTTACCACCATTTCTACAGTTTTGAGTGTGTTCAGTTCCAGATTGTTCCGGTTACACCACGAGGCAAGTTGTATAGCCTCCTGTCTGTATGCGGATTTGTCGTTGTCTTGAATGAGACCAATCACTGTTGTATTATCTGCAAACTTCAGTATTTTAATAGATGGATGAATCTTTATTTTAATAGATGGATAGAATCTTTGTTTGGCAACGCTAGATAGATAGATAGATAGATAGATAGATAGATAGATAGATAGATAGATAGATAGATAGATAGATAGATAGATAGATAGATAGATAGATAATAGTCATTTCAATGCAGTGTCCCTTACAGATTCTAAATAGCTATTGTGGTTGACAATTATGCAGGATGTTGGGGCGGGTAGTTAATTTTTATGCAAGAAAGAAATTAAACATTAATTCAGCAAACTTACTTTTGACACCATCTCCTCTGTAGATTTACACAGAGCTTACTGAATTGTCTGGTAGTTAATTGGACATTTTCTTGACATAATAAACAACTGTATTTCATCCATATCTGCACTGTCTGGTTAAAAGGCATCAATAAAATGTTTAAGTTAAATTGCACTGAAATTTAATTTGTACCCCCAAAAATAGATGAAATAAAAAAGATGGCTTTTCCCATTCAGGTTAGCTGCCCCCTAGTGGGAATTCAAAGCTGCTAATATAAGAAACTAAACGATAAAGCAAGCTTCAGACATTAGATTTAAAAATTAAGAGTGAACAGATCACATAAAATTATGTAACATAGTGGCAGGCTGTTGTTGTTGCTCATATTCATGACTTAACTTGAAAAGTTTCAGCTGTTTTGATCTGGCATTCAGAAAAATGTGTTTAGAGGATGAATGAGCGATGCAATTACATAAACACCAAATCAGGCTCCAAAACTAGGTATTGTAAAGGGAAAGGGGCATATGATATATCCTTGCAGTCCACAAGCATTTTCATATTTTTTTCTTGTTCCATGACATCATGTCACTTTAATTTGACTTTTGGAGACCAAAAATAATAAGAAAAACCAGAGGGACAACAACTATCTCTTAATTATACACCTCCTTTTACTTTGTGAATTATATCCACCAGAAAAATAAGTTGTAGATCTCAAAAAGGGCAAATATTTCAACATGTAATGTTTGAATTAATCAAAAGTCTGTGCATTTAATCTTTGAAAAAAAATTACAAGAGTGCCTGATTCATCTGTACATTTAGTTTCAAATGATTGATACTTTTCCAATATTTTGAGGGTTTTAATGTTTGATTGTGATATAATGTTTTTCAGGGATATGAGAAAATCATGCCATTTTTGGCAGGATTAATGCTCACTTTATTTAATTTCTGAGGTGGTCAGAAATTATTCTGCCTTTTAAAACTTTCTTCATACATGCATATTATGTGAAGTGCAGAAGGAAGTAAATATTAAAAAGCCATGCAATAAGTAAGAGAAATGGTTTTTTTTGTATACCTTCAAAATAATCTTAAATCCTGGTGATGTTTCTTGGCAAATTTTTCAGAAGTAGCTCGTTATTTCCTTCTTTGTTGGGTTGAAAGTAACTGGTCTAAAGTCACTCAGCTAGTCTTGAGCCCAAAGCTCTACTAGAACTTGTGGTAAATCAATTTCTAATCTAGAGTCTCTTTAACCACAATACTAATTTGACTTTCAAAGGAGCCATTTCCAAATTAATTTACAGCAACACTATTCACTATACTTTTCCATTTATCTCTGTGTTTAGAATCCATTCTTGCTTGTGTTGTGTTCATATGTCACACCATGCATTGTCTCTTATATATTAACC